ACAATATTAATTTATTTTTTTATAATTTTATTTTTTTACTTTTTTATTTTATTTTCTTCTATTTATTAATTTATTTTACTATTGGGGGGGCTACGGTGAAATATCTGGGGTCTAAACAGACCCCTGACATTTCCCTTTTGAAATAGAAATTGAGTACACAGAGTCCTCAATTTCTTTTTCTGCAGCCCCAGCTCTCAATGAATGGGAAAGCACTCAGTACAGAGGCTTCCCATTCATTCAGAAACTGATGACAGTAAAAATATTTTACTATCACCAGTTTATGAATGGGGAGGAGCCTCTGTAGTGAGTGCTAGGCTACATTTATGAATTACCAGGAAGTGATGTAAATCGCAGCCTGTTCATTCATAACTGGGGACACATAGTACTATGTGTCCCCAGTATCTCCCTGGAGCAGCTCCAGGGAGGGATGAGAGACTCCAGATGCCGGCGCTTTGTTGTTATATATAGAACCAAATCCTCTCCTTTGTTTTTAATCTGACAATAAATTGGCGTAGATTCCTCCCAACTCTGGCTTATCTTTCTGAAATCCTGTAAAACTATTCCTCCATCTCCCACCTTCTCTTGTGCTCAGGGAGAGAAAAAAAGGCTTCCCACAGTGTAGTATGTCAGAAACAAATTATTTAAAACGATTAAAATGCACTTACTATTAAAATAAGGCAATTGCACATGGATTGTGTCCACTGGAGCTCCTGTCTATGATTGCAATGCTTGCATAGATCCGCCCACCTGATGCATTTCGTCACTATTGACTTCGTCTGGGGCGACGTAATGCAGAACTACCCCTGGTGCCTCGGGGCCTGAGGCTGTGGGGGGGCCCAGTGAGGTCCGGTCCTGGGCACCCCCCCTGGTGGAATATGTGACAGTGCAGGGTCCCGGGGGCCCCACGCTGCTGACGGGCGTCTCAGTAAGGGGGCAGGTCTTGTAACTCACCTCTCCCGGCCGCGTCTCTAGTAACATCACAGAAAATCTGCAGATAATTGTAAGGTGTATGGGCACCTTTAGACCTAGAGCTTTTTCTTACCATCACCAGCACAGGCATTCTGCAACACAGGTGTTGTGTTTGACACAAAATAGTTTATCACTTTGTGACAATTTCACATTTCATACTAGTTTTTTCACATTTTAGGAATATAATTTTTGAGTTTGAAGCGCAGTGCTATTTTACTTTTTTCCTATTTTGGGTGTACTCACCTATTAAGCAGAGTTGCTTTTAGAGTGTTATTTGATTCCTAGCGCAGTTTTTTTCTATCTAACATCTTTTTATTCTACCGGGCCTGCGCTGTCAGAAAATATATGGTTTGGGGGGACTTTTACAAACAATAGCAACGCAGCAGTTGAAAATCAATGGGAAAAATTGCAAAAATGGTGTGGCCAGCTGAGTTGCAAAATGTTCCGGAGAGCTTGGCAGCGAAAGGGTTAAAGCGTTGCCTATGGCCAATTTTGGGTATGGTAGTTTTTTGCGATTTCACAGGCGCTCGCACTTTTAAGGCTTGACATGTTTGGTGTCTATTTGCCTAATGTTGCTTTTACACCATGCCACCATGTCTGTATAACATCTGAATAAAAGAAGCGTCAAGCACATTGGACCTTGGAGTGCGGGTGACTTATTTTGGATATTTGCCTAATGTGACCCCATCTTTTCATTTTTACCAAAAAAGTACCGTAGCACTGAATACTGAAAAATGGCCTGGATAGGAAGGGGGTTTAACACCCCGGTCTTCAAGTAGTTAACAACACTCTATAAATATCTGGAAAAGGAGGAGACCAATTGCTGGAGTTTTGGGAGAGGAATGTTGTCCCATTCTTGCCTGATATAGGATTCTAACTGCTCAACAGTCCTTGGTTTTCCTTGTTGTATTTTTCGTTTCAAGATGTGCCAAATATTTTCAATTGGTGAAAAGGACTGTAGGTAGGCTAGTTAAGCACGCTGACTTTTACTACAAAGCCATGCTGTTGTGATAGATGCAGCATGCAGTTAACATTGTCCTGCTGAAATATGCAAGGCCTTCCCTGAAAAAGACGTCACCTGGGTTTAAGCATATGCGGTTTTAAAACCTGGAGATATCTTACAGCATTGATGGTGCCTTTCCAGATGTGCAAGCTGTCTGCCCATTAACACTAATGCACCCCCATACCTATAGAGATGCAGGCTTTTGAACGGAGCGCTGATAACAAGCCGGCAGGTCCCTCTCCTCTGTAGTCCTAGAAACATAGTGCTCATGGTTGCCAAAAAGAATGTCAAATTTTGATTCATCTGACCACAGAACAGTTTTCTAAAAGACCATTTTAAATGAACTTTGGCCCAAGAAGATGGCGGCGTTTCTGGATGGTGTTCAGATATGGCTTTTTCTTGCATAGAGGTTTAACTTGCAATTTAGGATGCCACGGTGTCAGGGTACTAGGGGGCTTACCTCTCCTCGGGGTGGCCATGTGCGGCGGGGGGCACGGGTTCCCCTTCCTGGCAGGACCCCTGGTACCAGGATTGTGGGTACGCATTCGCGACAAGTGCGCGTGCGCGGTGGACAGGCTGCGCGCGCAGGCACGGGGACATGCACGTAGTGCACCTGTTACTGGTATCAGGTGTGATCCTTGCTGGGGGAGGTTCCCAGCACACACCCTCTGCCCCTCTCTCGCCATTGGCTCCTGATGGAGAGGCTACCTGGTTGCCTCGGTAGGCGGGGAGTGGTCTCAATCCTCCACTGAGTATAAAAGCCCAGTCAGAGCCCTGGCTCATTGCTGAGTTATTCTATCCCTATGGTGTGATCTCCCAGCTCCCTGTGCCTTGAACCTGTCTTTATTCCTGAACCTCTGCTTGGACTCTTGATTACCGACCCTTTGGCTTACCCTTCCGTTACTGAAACTACCGCCCCTGCCAAGGGGTTCCACTCAAGGCCCAGCCGTACCCCCCTGACACACGGTGAACTGTGTTCACAGACAGTGATTTTTGGAAGTATTCTTGAGCCCAAGCAGTGATGTCCATCACAGAATCATGCCTGTTTTTAATGCAGGGCCCAAAGATCACGGGCATCCAATATTGCGTTTCGACCTTGTCCCTTGCGCATTGATTTTTTCAAGATTCTCTGAATCTTTTGATATTATGTACTGTAGATGATGATATATTTAAAGTCTTTGCAATGTTACTTTGAGGAAACAGCAATTCACGTTCACCCTTGGGTTAGGGTTAGCATAAAGCAACAGGATTCTGGCACACATTTCCTCTCGAATATCCAAAGACACAAGGAAAGCCCGCATATAATCCCAAGCCACTCTGTTAAATGCCTTCTCAGCATTCATGGAGAGAAAGAGCCCTTGCTCTTGCTTTGGTCAGCAATGGTGTCAATTCAATGCTTTCAGTGTGTTATCAGCAGTAGTACAGCAATTTCTGCCTTCCTGCACTGGGGGTCCCTAGTTCGAAGCCCAGCCAGGTCACTATCTGCAAGGAGTTTGCATGTTGCGTGGGTTTCCTCAGTGTACTCTGCTTTCCTCCGACACTCCAAAGACATGCTGGTAGGTTAATTGGCTCTCATAATTATGCATCTGAGATAGGAACCTTAGACTGTAAGCTCATTGAGTGCAGGGACTGATGTGAATGTAAAGAGCTGCGTAAATTGTCGGCAAAATATAAATACCAATAATAAAATATAGCTGCAAGCAGCAATAAAAGGTGGCCAAGCAGTAGAGCCGGTCATAGCACATGAGAAGACATTGTAGTTAGAGAGAGAAAAGAAAAAAGAACACGATTTTATAAATTATTTTAAAAAAAACTAATTCAAAATGGCCGCCGACCTTGGTGACCTCTGGAAGCCATATTGCATTTGGCAGTTATGTTGAGTTATCATATGTATAACAAGTTTAACATACTTCTCT